TGTTTCTACTCGAAGATTGGCAAGCCTTGTCCATGTAGGTGCAGCAAGGATGGTCCTCATGGCTCGGTTCTGTATTGTTTCCAGGGAAGCTAGTTGATCAGGTTTTAAAGTCAGGAGTGCTGGTGCGCTGTAATCAACTAAGGATCTTATGGCATGTGTGTAGAAGAGGCGTAATACCTTGAACCCAGCGCCTAATTTGGAGGATGTGAGTCTTCGTAGAACATTTAAGCGGGACTGTGTGCTTCTTAATAGGAAACGAAGGTGTGTGGTAGCTGAAAGTTCAGAGTTGAAGAAGATGCCGAGGCATTTATAGGATGGGACCCACTCAAGTGGTATGTTGCCAATATAGAGTTGGTGATATGCAACTATCCTGTTTACCTGGAGTGCTTTAGATTTGTCGGGGTTAACTTTGAGTCCCAGTTCTTTGCTTTTTGCTTCAATTGCGTCAAGTGCTGATTGGGCATTGATATGTCGGTTTGGACCTGTGGCCACGAGTTGTATGTCATCAGCATATGCTAACAAGTGTACATTTGCTGGGAATGAATTGTCATTAGTTGGAAACCAGATGTTGAAAAGGAATGGACTTAGGAGACCTCCCTGAGGGGTTCCATTCTCAAAGTTGTAAGAGTTGGACAGATGACCCTGGAATCTGATTTTAGCACGCCTGTCGGTCAGGTAGTCCTGTAGCCAGCAGAGGAGTTTACCCTTCAGGCCTTTCTCTGCTAATGAAGAAAGGATGGCATCTTTGTTGGCGAGTTCAAAAGCTTTTTCGAGGTCCAGAAATACTACAATACTGTCCTTTCCATCTAGAAGGGAAAGGAGAGTGATGATGTTGTCTCCTGTGCCTGCACCTTTCTGGTATGCATAGATATGCGGTGGGAATTTAGGAATGATGTGTTGAAGTCTGTTGAGTACGGCTCTCTCCATGGATTTCCCTACACAAGACAGGAGGGAGATTGGCCTGAAGGAGTTTGATTCTTTCTTGGAATGGGCTGAATTCTTGCTTCTTCCTTGGTAATGTGCCATCTTGTAATGATTTATTAAAAATTTTAAGTAATGTACTTTTGCATTTGGGGCCTAAATGGCTAAGGAATGAGTAGGGGACTTTGTCCTCTCCAGGTGCAGTGTCTCTTTTGTTGACAATGGCCTGTGATAATTCTTGTTTGGTGAAAGGAGCATCGCTTGTAGCGTTAGTATTAATGGCCGTTGTGATTGTCTGTTGACGTATTGTCTGGAGTTGTTGTAATTTTCTAGAGATGTTGGGTGGCAGTTGAGCTGAAGCGCATCTTTCTGCAAATGTTGCACCTAATCTATTGGCTTCTTGGAGAGGCTCTGGGTGTATGGAGGACTTCAGTGTTTTTGCTTCAGATGCTGCACGGAGTTTACCCCATAATTCTCGGAGAGGTGTGTGGGCAGAGATGTTTTCACACCAAGTGAGCCAGGCTTTGTTTCTGATATCGAGGAGCTCATGATTAACTAACCTCCTCAGGGTTTTGAAGGATTCATGGATATCTGGGGAGTTGTTTTTTTTAAGGAGGTTTCTGAACAAGCGCAGTCTGCGCTTTAATTCCCGGACTCGTGTATTGTAAAACCAACTGTCCTTATGCGCATGATATGTGTGATTTATTTTGGGTATTGATATATCTGCTGCTGCCTTAATAGCATCAATAAAATCCTGCTCTAATTGGTGAAGGTTATTTGCAGGAGTGTATCTCTCTGCCCAGTCCTCTAAGAGCTTAGTGAAGTGCGCCCAGTTAGCTTTTTTTAGGTTCCATCTTGGGACAGGTGGAGGAAGTGGTAGACGTGGTAGCTGTAGAGTGGTGAAGGTGGCTAGGTGGTCTGACATAAGGTAGGGGTGAAAGGACCAGTCTGCAGTCGATACTAAAGAGTTGGAGAGGATGGTCAAGTCTAAGACTCCTCCTTTGGTGTGCGTAGCTTGTTTGGAGTTCAAAAGGGAAACATCTGGGAAGGAATCTAGAAGGAGCTTGATGTGTAGCCCTGCATCATTTGTTTTGTAAGCTGAGGAGGTGGTGGGGTCATTCCAGTTTGGGTGGTGAGCATTGAAGTCGCCTAGTATGATGGTCGGTTCATGTGCAGCTAATCCGAACAGTTCATCCATCTCTAATTCGCAGGTAGGATGTGGGGGCCGGTATATATTGAAGAGGAATAAGTTGGATTCGTTTAAAGAGATCTGAATGCTAAGACATTCGATACGGGTTCTACATTCTGGTGCAGGTGTAATCAGCTGGGTGTGGAGGGAGTTCTTGGTAAATATGGATATCCCCCTGTTTTGTCCAGGCATATAGTAAGAGTGAAAAGCATTGTAATTCTTGATATTACATGTGCTTGTTTCAGAGAGTAGGGTTTCTTGTAGAACAAGGATGTCAAAAGGATCCTCTGCGTTGGCTGTTAGAAGGGTGGCAAGATTGGCTTTTAATCCAAGAATGTTCCATTGTAGGATGCGTAAGGGTGAAGACGTTGAAAGAACTGTAGTACTATCCATTTGTGGGATATGTTGACGGTGTGTGGGCTGAAAGTTGGTAGTTTGCAGATTCTTTGTGGTTGTCATGAGAGTTAGAGCTTGAGGTGTCTGCCACAGGAATGACCACTCTAGAGGATTGAGATGGCTGCCGCTTGGCCGTAGGATTGATTGGTCCTGAAGTTGAAGGTTGTGGTAGAGGTGGAAAGTTGTCGGATGTCAGAAAAGTGTCGTTCATAGAATCCGCAGAAGTAGCAGGAGTGGCTTCTTGTGGTTCAGTGGATTCTTTTTGCGGTCGAGGGAGAGGGTGTGTCGTCGTGAGTAAGGCAGAGATGACATTGTCCACCAGGAGCTGGAGTATAGAAGGGTCCACTGATCTGCCTAGAGCTAGGAGGCCAAGCTGGATCGTATTCGCCAAGAACTTGCTGATGGCAGAGTCATGTGGGGTGGGAGATGTCATTGCGGAGGTAGCACCTTGAAGTGTGGCCGGAATTGGCTGAACAGGTCTGACAGATGTCTGAGGAGTGCTGAGTTGTGGTGAACTAGGTGGTTGGAGAGCGCTAACTGCGCTTACAGCAGTAGAGTTGTGGAGAGGAGTCGGTTGGCGTGGTGGAGGATTACTCCAGTCGTGCAGTTTCCTAGGCAAAGTCCTTTGTGCTGAAGGTCCCGTTGGTGTTTCGCTTTTTGGTAAAAGAGCCCGTCTCTTCTCACATCTGAGGTTCCACGCATGGTGGTTGCCTCCACAGTTCGGGCATTTGGCCTCTGTTTTTTCCCCAGCTTTCAGTTTGGACAAACAGCCTTCTGTGGCATGAGGTTGGGCACAAATGGCACAGCGTGGGGAGGCTCTGCATTTGGCTTGATGATGACCAAACTGCTGGCATTTAAAACAGCGAAGGGGCTCGGGGATATATGCTCTTGTTTGGAATTTTCCAAAAATACCCAGATTGATCTCTGGTGGCGGGGTATCATTTGTGATGAGAAGGACTTGACGTGTCTCCTCCTTGGTGGTTCTAGATACACATCTGGTTGCCGAAACAACAAAGGGTAGGTCAGTAAGTCGTTGTAGAGGGAAGCCTATTGGAAAGCGTTCCACAATAGATTTGAAGGTCCTGGGTGGAGTCGTGTGGGGCAGTATGTTGACCACTTTTCCGGATGACAGGGTACGGAGTGAGTTTAAAAGATCTTTTGTAGATTCAGTGTTGGCGGAAAGAATGAAGTCTCCGTCTTTGGTGATGGAGGTGGTAGCATCAATGAATGGAAACTCCTTTTCAATGGCAAACAGTGAATCAACTGCAGTGTCAAAGTCTCTGGAGCTTGTGATGCGGAACTTGGAAGTGCTAGGCTGGTCAGGTGCTTGCAATGGTCTTGAGGTAGGGTCTGCGGAGGCTTCCATATCTTCACTAGTTTCTTCATCTTGAAGTGGATGGCAGTCAGGGTGGGAGGAGTCATTTGGAGTATGCGAGTCTGGAGTAGATTCCAGTGAGGCGCGACGGGCTTTCTTGGTCGAGGTAATGTCTTCGTTAGATCTGGTTTCAACATGTCGTCAGGGGACTGGGTCGTCTCAGGGGAAGTCGTCCTCTTCTTATTCCTCGTTGATTCGTCAATCGTTGGCGAGTTGTCGGGGGGTTCGGAGTGAGGATCCATCGGAACTTTCTTCTGAGGTCCTTTTTTCTTCTTACCAGGCTTCGACATCGAGAATTGTTGGAACCGCCTACCTAAGCTCCCTAGTTTTTAAACCTACTGGTGAATGCCAGCGAGCATTCACCCCAGGGAGTCCCTAACCCTAGCAAAGAAAAAACAACCCTTCTCTGAGGTTTAAGGCAGTCTGACTACAGACCCCCCTTGTGGCACTGCCCGCAGGGTTCACCTTCGCCTCAGAGGGGACTCTAAGTTGGTTCCAATCAATTCCGAGTTTACTTCATTCGAAAGCGGTAAATCTCTTCTCTTCCGATGTGGAAATCTCCTAATCTTCTACAGTCGTTTCGTTGAAGAAGTTGGAAAAAAGTTGGCTTGTTCCTTTACTGACTGCATTCTTGGCCAGTTCCCAGAGACTGCAAATCTTCGAAGTGGCATGAAAGTCACGCTCTTAGCATTGACGAGTGACGGACTGGGCATGAAGGTTAGCACAGAAGGGGGTGCAGCTCGCACCCGATGCCGTGAAGCCTTTTCCGGCAAGTGCTTTCCAAGAACAAGCGAAGCGAAGCGAAGAAGAGAGAGGGATTCCACCTCAGGTCCGGCGGCTTAAGTACCTGACCGGCGATGTTAGCTCGGCCGATTAGAGCGCGGTCCCGAAGCAGGGGTCGGCCAATCACAGGTCAGGTGCAGTTCTAGATTGATGGCCAATCAGGAACCGCTACAGCACTCGCGAAACCCTGAAGGGCTGCTGCAGGTGTGCGGGTTTGGCGCGGTCGATGGTCACGGTGTCTTCTCCCTTTGGGCGGCGGATGGTGATCGTCTTGTCGCCTCTTCTGATGACCGGGAATGGACCCTCGTACGGAGGACAGAGAGGAGGTCTGGGATGTTTTCTCACGAAGACGTGAGAGCAATCCTGGAGTCCTGGAGGCATGTATATGTACTGCTGTCGGGTGGGTCTCGTCGGTCGGCTGCGTACCCGGGCCATTCGTTCGCAGAGTTGTTTGCCGAAGGTCCCGGGTTTGAAATTGCTGGCTGTGACAAGGAAATCTGCAGGGAGGGCGAGCGTTGTCCCGTAGACCATTTCTGCGCTGGCACTGCAGGTCCTCTTTGAACGACGTCCGGATGTTGAGGAGGACATGAGGTAGTTGGTCGACCCATCTCCTGTTAGGGGAGGATGATGTTAGGGCCTGCTTCATATGCCGGTGGAGTCGCTCGACCATGCCGTTGGCGCAGGGATGGTAGGCAGTCGTCCTGATTCTTTTGGACCCGAGCAGGATCATTAGGTGGCGCCAAAGTTCGGACTCGAACTGGGCGCCGCGGTCTGTAGTGACGGTTTCCGGGGTGCCGAAGCGGGAGATCCAGGTATTGAAGAAGGTCTTGGCGACTGTCGCTGCGGTGATGTCGCGGATGGGCGTAGCCTCGGGCCATCTGGTGAAGCGGTCGATCATTGTCAGGATGTAGCTGTAGCCGTCGTCCATGGGCAGGGGTCCCACTATGTCTATGTGGACGTGTTGGAACCTACTGTCTGGAATAGGAAAGGTCTGGAGGGGGGATTTGGTGTGCCTGTGGATCTTGTTTCTTTGGCATTCGATACAGGAACGACACCACTGCCGAACGTCCTTGTTGATGGCGGGCCAGACGACCTTGCTGCGGATGAGGTGTTGGGTGGCCCGGATGGCGCGATGCTGGTGGTAGGCATTGAAGAATCGCCGGCGGAGGGAAGGCGGGATGTATGGGCGAGGGTAGCCGAGGGAGACATCGCAGAGAAGGTCGTCGCAGAAGTTCGGGATTTTGACTCTCTCAAGGTAGAGGGAAGTCTGGCCCTCTAGGAGTGGAGTCAAGGACGTGTCCTGGCGTTGCTCTTTGCTTACTAGATGGTAGTCCACTGCGTCGTCGGCGAGAGTCGCAGCAGATATGGTCACCCTCGACAGAGCATCGGCGGCCTCATTGTCCGAGCCCCGAATGTGGCGGAAGTCCGTTGTGAACTGGGAAATGAAGTCCAGGTGGCGCTCGTCGCGAGGGGATTGGCGGCGGGTCCTCGAGTGTAAGGCGAAGGTGAGGGTTTGTGGTCCGTCAGGATGTGGAATTCCTTAGCCTCCACAGACGGCTGGAAATGCCTCACCGCGGAGTATGCTGCCAGGAGCTCCCTTCCGAAGGCACTGTACCGTGACTGGCGTGGCGACAGGGTCTGCGAAAAGAAGGCAAGGGGTTGCCATTGCTTACCCTGGCGTTGCTGGAGGACCGCACTGATGGCAGTGTCGGAGGCGTCGACCGCTATGCTGAGGGGAGCTCGGGCAGCGGATGGTTAAGCAGGTGGCAGCGGCAAGGGCTTGTTTGCAGGCTTGGAAGGCTTCGTTAGTCGGGGATGTCCACTCGACTCTGGTGTTTCTGCTGGCCTTGTTAGGTGTGATCAGGGCGTGGAGGGGCTTGAGAAGCTGGGCACACCCGGGGACGAACCTTCCGTAGAAGTTAAACATGCCCAGGAATTTCCGCAGCTGCTTCTCCGTCGCTGGCCTGGGGAACTTCCTTATAGCGATGACCTTCTCCTGCGCTGGGGTGATGCCTTGGGGGGTGACGGTGTGGCCGAGGAAAGAGAGGGAAGCGACACCGAACTGGCATTTTCCCGGGTTGATAACGACGCCCGCGTCTTGCAGTCTGCCGAAGAGGGCGAGGAGATGGCGGGCGTGGTCTGCTTCTGAGATGCTGGCGACGAGGATGTCGATGTAGGCGAAGACGCCCTCAAGGCCGCGAGTCACGTCGTGGAAGAAGGTCTGGGCGGCTTTCCGAAGACCGAAGGGCATCCTGAAGAATTCAAAGAGGCCGAAAGGTGTGATCACGGCCGTCTTGGGGATGTCCTCTTCAGCGATCGGATTTGGTGGAAGGCCCGCACGAGGTCGATCCTGGAAAAAAACGTTACAGCCAGACAGCTCGTGGGAGAAGGAGTGCAGGTGCGCAGGGGGTATCTGTCGGGGGCGGTGATCGTGTTGAGGTGACGGTAATCACCGCACGGGCGCCAGTCACCATCCTTCTTCTTCACCAGATGCAGAGGGGCCGCCCATTGACTGCTGGAAGGGCGTATAATCCCCAACTGCATCATATGGTCGAACTCCGCCCTGGCACTGCGACATCTGTCGGGGGCGAGCGGACGGCAGCGAGAGTGGGCAGGGGGACCGTGGGTGACGATGTGGTGTCGGACTTCTTGCCGTGGTTGGGTGGCCCGGTTGATCGGCTTGGTCAAGGCCGGGAATTCCCGCAGGATGTTCTTGAAGGCGCAGGTCCTGGGAAGCACTGTATATATTAGGGGGGTACTTACCAGAACCGGAGCAGCGTGCGTGCGGGCCCCGGTTCGGTGGATCAGGGCCATACCTTGAAGATCAACCGTCAGA